AATTGTTAGAAATTGTGCATAGGAAAAACTGCAAAAGCATTTCTGTCTTTGTATTGAACAAGAATTGCCTTGTATAAAATATCAGTGAGGTGCCATTTGTCTGGTCGCTCACACAAGTTTTTAACTATATAAATATGAAAATTTGATGATTTAGTTGGAGTTGAATACAAATCTTTAGACTCTTGAAAACGTTTTCCTATTAAAAATATACTAGATGATGTCTGAACAATATTAATGATTTTGATAACATCGCTTTTAGACGTAATAACCATGTTATCTCCTTCTTTTAACGACAATACAGTACCATGCCATCGAATCATTTTATATTGTATACCAATTAAAGAAAGACAAGGACCAGAATGAACAGATCTAAGAATGGGACCATCTTTTGTAATAAATTGATTACAATTATTTGAATCTGTCTCAATTTTTTCTAAAGTGCGGTTTACTAATTGCTGCAATGGTTTGTTTTTTCCACGAATTGCTCGTTTAAGAGAAGCTAATTTATTTTCAAAAGGAAAAGCAGAAAATTTATGCAGAGGACCATGACGTCTAACATCATCAACAAGATGCAACAAATTATGTACATTGTATATGAGAAATGATTTGCCATAAAGATCTTTTGAAATACTATTTATGACGAACTGTCGTAGCATATATTCTGCTTGATCAAGGTCTTCTTCTGAATTATTATCTCGTGATAATATAAATATACTTGCATGTAGAAGAAGAAAGTGTTTATACATTTTCTTAGGAAGCCATGGAGTGAGTAGAGTCGGACCTAAATACAGAAGGAATTGTCTGTATTCTGTGGCTTTCCACATATTAAGTTCATGTAGACCTCTTGGCTTTCGATTAAATTCTATTGGCCATGAAGATGCTGCTTTTTCAAGTTGTTTATTAAGGATACAAATATTTTGAGCAGACATACGAGCTGTTAATTTACCGCCAGTCCATATGTGCAAAAGCTTGCGCATCACTCCAAGAAATACCAAATGCATTGGATCTAACGGAAACATTGTAATCATATTAATACCAATATCTATTAACGGACTTATTTCTTTATGATGTTTTTTCTGTTTTCTTTCAGCAAAACTTTCATCAGTTCTTAAATTAGATGAATGATCCGGAAATATAACACGTCTCTTTTTCCATTGGCCTTTTTGAACACACTTTTCACATCCATAATAGCCGCCATGACCTTTAATACCTTTCAAAAAAGCTCTAGCTGGTGCATCACAAATAAAACTTCTAACAAATACTCTATACTTTGTATCATTAATAATAATACCATTTTCCATAAGATCTTTTAACTCTGGAACAAAATCTTTCAAAAACAATTTTAAATCTGGTTTTTCTTTCCCGCAATATACAGCACATACAATCGGTGTAAAATTAAATTCTTCAATAAGACATAATATTGGCCACAACTGTATACGACTACTTTTAAATAAGGGAAGTCCATCAACATTGAATTTTAGCCAAATTATTGATGATGATGCAAATCTCATTTTTAATTGTTTTTCTAGCATATCCTTTAAGTTAAAATTATAATATTGACCATCCCCCATAGTTTCAATAGATATATTATTTGATTTTCCAAAAATACTTCTCGGATCTGTAGGTAAATTTGGATGGACTTTATTAAGAATTTTTAAAAGTTGTTGAAAACTAATTCTGCTAATATTGTTTTCCACTGCCCACATTTTGAGATTATTTTGCAAGTAAACATTAATATTTTCATTGCATTTGTAATCAGTTACTCTTTCTTCGATAAGCTTATCACTAGTCTGAAAATTTTCATCACGAGATAAAAAATTTGTGAGACTAAACTTATCAATTAATTCATTGCTACTATAATTAACAGAACTATTAAAAATTTCATTACATATTTGTTCATTCTGCTCATTATCACTCCTTGATACAGAAAAGCTATCTATGTTAACTGATATGTCATTTTGTGTAATTCGTTTCTTAACATTATTGTTATTGCATGCTTGAGAATGTTTATATAAGATGTTAAAATTTATATTTTTTTGATCTTCATCTGTAGAAAAAATATCAATTTTTTGCTTTTTAGATACTTGATTTTCTGTTTCAATGTGGCATACTGTTTTGTCTGCTGCATCACGTAAAATGCGATAAAATTGTCTCTTGCTCTTTGCAGCAGATAATTGGTCCATTGTACTTTGTACATTGTTGTCAGGCAAAAAGGTATCAAACCTTGTATAAAATAAAATGTTTTAAATATAAAAGTGAATTCTGTTTTAACAGCTAAACACACACACGGGACACATACATATATATACACATACATCTCATATAATATATAATTATTTTTTACCTGAGGTTTGTGTTTGGAATATTTTTATTTTGATCCATATTTTTCTTTTTAGTTGATTTTCTTTAAAGCAAAATTTTATTCTCTGAAAATAAAAAAATTAGATATATATAAATTATTCCTAAAATATATATATATATATATATATATATACTTATAGATAAGTATTGTAGATAAATAGCTGAGCTAACTTTTTATATAATCTTATTTTTGTATATAGATTGTGCATGTTCTACATAAAAAAAAGAATATATGGAAAATAATTTTACATAAATATATATACTTACCGTAATAAAAATATTTTAGCAACGCAGTTTTGTAGCAAACAAATATACATATTTATTTATTTAATATAACTGTTTATAAGTTGTCTCCGTGACAACGGGCGGGCAATGCTATACAACGATAGGATAGATTAGGTTTTATTTGGCGATTGCAGCGCTCGCGAGCATCGTTGACTCAGCGGCGTTAACTTATATATGTTCTCCGAACGAATAAATACTTTCGTTTTTTTTTTATTTTTATTATTCACCGAAAATTAAATACGATATCAACACACACATTTTTTTAAACATTGCATTAGCATTTATAAATTGAATTATAAAAAAGCTTTCATAATACCCAGGCAACACTTACATTCAAGAGATGTCGAAAGAACATTCCGAGAATGTGCCTGGGACATCTCGTAATATTTCTCGACACGTGTGTTCATACCATTATAATTAACATTCTATGGATAATCCCGTTAACATAATAATAGAACGTCTCTTAAAAAATATACATGGAATATTCAGTGAACATGTCATTCAGTGAACAAAATTATTCACAAATATAGCAAGTCACAAATATATTCCATTGATGTTACAAGTATAGCCCTATATGAATGTTCCTTAAGCTTATCATAGTTAACGTTCTATGAATAATCCCGTTAACATAATAATAGAACGTCTCTTAAAGAATATACATGGAATATTCAGGGAACAGATTTGTGGATATACATTTCGAAAAAATGGATATACATTTCGAAAAAATATCTATGAGATATTCCATGAATGTTCATTTTGTACATTCTCTTTGTCATATTTATAGCATCTTTGTAGAATGTTTTGGGACTCTCCCATGCCAATTGGGTATAATATCGATATTGAGAAATCGGAAAATCGTAACCCCGGCGAAATATTTAAGTAACTACACTAGAAAACAGCTCTTTCTTTGTTTAGTATCCTTCTTTTATATTGTCTCGTCAAAGTAAACAGAAACGCACAATATTTTACGTTGCTTTGGATTATTGAAATTACCTACAAAATCTCATAATAAATTTAACTCCCTTAATTATATCCTCTTTTAAATAACTTCCTTTTCTCTCATGCTTTATAATTTTATACGCCTACGTCATTTAATATCAGATAGCCTTAGTAAAAAGAATTGCAGATTTTCTAAATAAACTAAAATAAAATTATAATGTATTCTTTCTAATTCATAAAAATTACAGCTTTCTTTACAAATTCCACTCATATAAAAGCAATACAATTTCATACGTGCTTTTTTAAGCATTTTATATGAAAATTATTTACTCATTTCAAACTTTAAATTTTTACGATCATTTTTTAATATATACAGGGTGTCCCAAAGCACCCTTAACAACGTTCGTGAGGTGATAGAGGAGATCAAGATGAACAAAAAAGTCTTATACCATTTTGCGATATTTGCAATTATAAGCGAAATATTTAATGTTAATTTCAGGCAAATAAGAGCCCGCTAAGGGCTCTTATTTAACTTTAAATAACTTAATTCGTTATAACGGGTACACTGGGCCGTGTTATAGTTTGAGCGGCTCGAGCGCTTTCCTTAGCGGGCTCTTATTTGCCTGACTTTAACATTAAATATTTCGCTTATAATTGCAAATATCGCAAAATGGTATAAGACTTTTTTGTTCATCTCGATCTCCTCTATCACCTCACAAATGTTGTTAAGAGTGCTTTGGGACACCCTGTATAAATTCATATCTTGACACTTTTTTTTATTATAATTCTTGTTAATATAAATTGATACAATGGATCTGTTTTTTGTTCCTGAACTGCTGCATTAGTTCAGAGGTTATCTTTTTTGCTCGACATTGGAAAGAAAAGGACAACCTCTGAACTAGTGCAGCAGTTCAGGAACAAAAAACAAAAACAGACCCAATATGTTATAATTTATTAACGATTTAATATTTAAAATTTTAATAAAAATTTTTATTAATTTTTAAGAGGATTTGATACTCAATTGTGTCATCGTTGAGATGTGCTCTTTGAGGCGTTAATACTAAACCACCAACGCTAAACATTCGTTCCACAGATGCACTGCTCGGAAGTGCCGTATTATATTTAATAAAAAGTTTTTTAATTGTAATGTAATCTTTTAATATATTAACATTGCAATTACTTGATTTCAAGAATCGGTACAGTTCTTCTTGTGTAGACTCGACTTCTTTTGTTTGCTGGTCAAAAGCAAAAAAGTCATCGTTGTTGAGATTTTCATCGTTTAGAGAACTCTCGGTGGAACGAATTCCTAATAGTCTTCTAAATAAGTTTTAGCGAGTTTTTTTTCTTCTCCATGTATCTAATTTAATTTAAATTTGGGATGCAAACAACTTGCAATAATAAGTTCTTTTTTTTTCAAACAATGAGGAAAATCTAAAATTATACAGTCAGAAGTCAGAATCAATGAATATTGTTTTCTAAAAATAATAAATAACATGTTCATTAAAATAACAAATTACCTTTTATTTAAACCTTGTTGAAGAGCTGCGATTAATGATTGGCAATGCGTAATTTCATTTTTATTAAGTTTCTCTAATTTTTCTTTTAATGTTTTTAAGATCGGTAATAAGTATCCCATATACATCCCTTTCTCGCTTTGCAATATATCTAAAGATTGTGCTAAAGGTTTCATTACCTAAACGAAATAAAACGAGAAAAAGATACACGTTATTAGTTATTAAATACATATTACAATCTTTATATATACATATTTATATATTTATGTTTCATATTAACACTTATAAATTTATCTAAATACCTGACAATATTCTTCTATGAATTTCATTTCATGTTCAGTCAATCGTTGCAAATTACAATGATCAAGGCATTGATTGATTTGGTCGGGATCATTTTTTTAAAAATGTTGCTAGTTGCATTACAGAATCAAAAGTAGAGTTCCATCTACCAAAATAAAAAAAGATGAAAGTATATTAGAAACTTATAATTTGAAAAAATATTTATATACTACCATATGCAGAATTAAATGAAAACATGATTAAAATTAAAAAACAGTAAATATGCAATTTATTTAGTTATAAAATTGAAGACATTGTAATGTTTTTTACTATTGTGTCGAGAGAATATCTATGGAAAAATAATATTGATATACATATAAGCCACTGCGTGACTTTGTACATAAACATTGCGAATATTATTTTTAGACACTGATAAAAATCATTAGGTACCTCTATTATCATTCTAAGATCAAATAAGTTTCATATTTACAATAACTAACGCAATAATAAATTTTTTACCTGGTAAAAACAGGAGTTTTTAAATAGACACCTAAAATTTCTTTTTTATTTTGTCAGATATTTGTGTAGATTGATTTTGTTTACTCCATAATTTGGTTAATTTAGCAAATGTCAATCTGTATAGTTTTTTATATGAAACAGTCATTGTCTAGAGCTTTCGCGGAATCTTTACAGCGACAAGATTTAAACTGTGACTCACACAATCTATGATGTGATGGAAGATAAGCGAATCTTCTGCATCCATATCTTCTATATCATCTTTATTAAAAGATCACTTAAATCGTGAAATTCTATAGCAGTAGAATGTTTCATCTTCGTCTCGTCTTTACAAAATTCCTAAAAAATATTTAAAAATTTTACTCTCATGAATTAGATAAAATATTTTATATGTCAATTATGTTTTGTTATTATATTTTTTATTTTTATTATAATACTTTATTATTATATGCTATTATACCTTAATTTTAATTGTTTTATTAATTTTTTGTATTATAGTAATAAGGTAAAAGAGTATGTAAGCGAGAGAAGAATGCCACATTCGTTGGATATCCAAATTAAAATAAAAATGTAAAAAATACACAATATACTTTGAAACAAACTCTTTCCGAAAAGCTTTAACAAATTGGATCCACTATCGGTATTACATAACACACTTTATTTTGGTATGATACTCGAGAAAGACTGAGTTAATTGCTCGAGCTAAACATCGTATGTATATGTCTGCCTTTCATCCTACGGCAAGCCAATGCACTGATTCTCTCTCGAAAGTTACGGGATTCACCCAATGAATAGTTATGCCTAAATAACTCCTATAAATTTAGATTTTAATTTATAAAATTTGAAAAATTACAATAAAAAAATATAAATATAAAGTAATATTACTAGCTTTTGTGTTTTGCTCCACAAATCTGCGGTATTTGCAACTACTTCTACTTCTGTCAATTTTTTTCAAGAGCAGCCTTCATTTTATGATATGTTTCACAAATTTTGTTTCTTAATGTTTTTCTGCACATTATACGGA